AAGGTTCTCATCTAAGTTCACTGAGATGAGAATAAACACAATTAATGCTAAAGAGGAAGGAGAGAGATTTAAAACTTTTTTTTTTTCGAATGCAACTTATTGAGTAAGTTGAACGTAAACTTTTGCTTTTTTTGCGAACGCGGGGTAAGATGATAGGACTACAAATCATGTTTTGTTAACTGAATGGTGTGAATATATTTATTGATATTTACTGGAATAATCTAAATAAATAAATACTACTTAAAATTAATATTCCTAGTGGAATTATAAAAATAAAAATATACTAAACTAGTGATTAATACTTATAACCAGAAAATGAATCACAACTGAAAGACAGTAATAAAATTAAATAATTATTATATACTTTTAGTTGTGGCCATAATTGCCAGAATGAAATTGAGTTCGGTTGAATCACATTACTATATATTATACTTCACTCATCAGCTTCCATTCATGTTTTACGCTAAGTTCTCCAGTTAGTTAATAAATCGATTCCATTACCAATCGCCTCATTGAATAATTAATTTTTATTTCTGCCAATAGCTAAGGTCATTAGTCTCGTAAGTGTGGTGCGTATTTTATAACGGGAATTGGCAATGTCTTTTCCGCAGTGGGCGGTGATATCCGGTGTCGAACTACACGACAGCTAGTCGCGGGTTTCTCATTCAGGTATCTCTCTAGCGGGCTACCTGCCCAGCCGGGACCAGCTCTAAGCGCCCTGGTAGTGTAGTGCGTGTGAGTGTGTGTGTAAGTAAGGGGAAGATAGGGCAAGTAAGGGGAAATAAGATTACGCGAGGTCCATGGTCCATTTGTTAGTGCACTACTTCAGCATTGGCCTGGAGTTTATCGAAGAAACCACGGAGAACTACTGGTCAGAGCAGCTGGCGCTAGAATTCACCTCCATATGGCGGTTGAATTCCACCTAGCTATTTAGCGAATCTCCAAATCCTACCACCGCCGGGACTCGAAACCTTGGACCTTCCGGTCACAGCCACGGGAAAGACATCACATGATGCCCTAAGACACCTCATCCGGTCTACGATCTCATCTTTAGTTGAGATCTTAGGGGTACTTGCGATGATCAGTCCTGAGCTCTCGTATTGGACGGTCTGCGAACGTAGGTCTTAGATTTTTAGTAAGTTCCAGTTGAAGAGTTGGCGTAAAACATGCCCATTTAAAATATTAAATTTTCAATCTCCATATGAACAGACGTAATAAAATGAATGTGATGGTCAATGAGTAAATATTCCATGATATGTGCAAAACTAATGAAGCTCGTATGAAACTCAACATATCACTGAATTTTCTATCGATGGTTATTATTTTATTATTTCCTTAGATAGGGATATTTATTCTTTGATGTTTATGGAACCAATGAATAATTTGTTTCTGAAGACAACAAAGACGTATGTGAGTGTCGATTGGCTTCTCTAAACGGTTATTATTGTTTACATTTTCGCGCAAATAAAAATAAAATTAAAGAATTTTGCAGTTCCTTTCTAAAATTAGTAGTTAAGATGATTTTAGTTGATATGAAAAATTGAATAGAGATATTAACTCTAAAGGAAATAAATTACGTGTGTAATATTGAAGGATTTCTTCAGATTATTACAATGATTTTCTTTTGTTTTCAAAATTATTTTGCTCTTAAATGCATATTCTAATGCTAATCCATTTTCAGCCAAAAGGTAAAACGCAACATATTATAAATATTACTCCAGACTCTGATGTATATTTTATGTAAGAAATAACACCACCTACCGTGTTTTTAATGAAGTTGAGAGGTTTAATTTTGGACATGTGTACGTCAAGACCGTCTAATATTTTGCTGAAACTTAATTTTCCGTGACCCGTATGTCTTAAAAAAAAGTTTCGTGAAATGAATCCTTCAGCTGTGAAATTCAGATGCAATGGTTTGTTTGCCCCATGCGCTGTCGACTAATATATCTATGTATGACTAAAATATTTTCACAACTCCGGCGTACTCGTATAATATTTCCTTCTCCATCATTACTAAACAAATACAATTGATCTTATTAGTATATTTAGTATAGTTAGTAAATAGTAGTATATTTTACTAGTCTGTTCAATTAAACTAATTTCAATTTCACGATCCATTAACACACACAATGGGTAGATTGCAGGAAAATCTCCAGCAAAAGATTTTTGTCACCAGTTTTTAAAAATCTTCTTGACTTTAAAATTTAATAGTTTTCTGAATACTTGACTACGTAAGATGAAATTTGCATCGTAACATATCGGCACATATTGTTTATTGTTTAATAATTTTAAACTTGTAGATCTTCCCACAGCTTCATTAATTAAATTTTAAATTTAAGATAGAAACAAAAAGCCCCAAAATATTTTTTAAATATCTTGTTTAACTGAAATACAGCATCAAATGCAAATTGCTCTAAATGATGGAATTTGTTCGTTAAATATAGTCCACCGCTATTGTCATATCTTCCAATTTGTCCGTAACTTGCAAACATTGTATGCTAGCCTTGGAAAGTAAATTCAGAAATATATGACGTTTAAAATATACTTCTTTATTCTCATGTTTGTTTGAATTCATTTCATTCAAGTATTTTTCTGTAAGGGTCATTTAAAAATATACTTTTTGGGACTTTCTGCAATAATTATCAATTTTACATTAATTTTTACAGTAACGGAAATAGATAGAAAGTGTTTACACTCCAATCACCAACAGTGCTTTGTTAGAATGATATATGTGATTTTTTAAGTTAATGATCGAGGAAACAATACAATAATATAGTCTTGTATTTTCTTCAACATTTGTGTTTGTTAACATTGCTGAACTATTTACCCCATTTTGGAAAAATTACTCTTCTGAAGTACAATCAAATTACCGTTTTTGGAATCTTCCAAGCCAGACATTTCCAATGAGGTACTCATAAGTTGGAAATAATTTCTAGAAGTTACGTTTCTGGAAAGCAAGTTGGAAAACATCGTATCTTACAACTTGTTTACCAAAATCAATTTAAAAATAATGCACCGAAAAATTTGTAACGACAAAAATATGAAAATTATGCTTTCAGAAAAAACGTTAAATTGATAGGTTAAGAAATAGGTTTTGACCCAATAACCACTTGACATGAAATGACCTATGTGTAAACTTTGTGTTTATTGTAAATGGGTTAATACCCACTGTGAATCCTTGTAGTATTAAAATATATATCATTGTATTCCTTTAACAAGTTAAAAAATCCTTAACAATATCGTCTTGAGAGAAAATATTCGTTGAAAGCTTCTGAGTTTTTTATGCCCCAAACTGTATTTCATAGGTTTTCACTGCTTTCTGACACTGTGTCAAATGAAGAGGTGGTGTGATTGTCCTGATGTCGGAGAGTCGTTATTCGCACCATAAGTTTATAAAGTTGCAAAATTGGGACTTTTCATCGTTGGTATACGAAAAATGTGAACCATTTTTTTGTGATTCTTCGATAATATATTTATCAATTTAACCCCCAAATTCTGTACGTTAAAGGTCAGCAGACCACCGTGCAGTGACAAAACGATTCTTAGCACAATGAAACAAGGCACATTTGTACATCGCGTGTATAGAAAACGCTATTATGATTTCTACGCACGAAGGGACTCGTCTTTTTATCAATACGTTTTTGGAGAGGTTGCAGAGAAGTTAGGAGGCAAGGCTTTGTAAATCACAGGGTCGGGGATGGAAAGCAGGGAACGTGAACAAATGAACAAATCAAGGAACAAAGGAACTCCTTATTGCATCGCCAATGACGAAACTCGGAAGCTATTTGCAGCAGGCGATATTGTAAGGTATTCTATTGTTCCTTGATAGGTAGTTGTTCCGAAGGTTCTTTTGTATATTCATGGTCGACCTCTCTCAACGTGAAATTTCTAGGGTAATCATTCGGCATGAATAGGCTGGTCGAATAAATTGGGGTGCAGTAATTTCATTGATTTCGGCAAACCTGTTTTGCTGGTAACAGCGTTGCAAGAATACACTTAGAATAGAAGGAGAATGCATAAACAGCCAAAGTTGCCTCTTTATTCAGATGTGTACTGTTAATAATTTGTATGAGGAAACATGTAAAAGAAAATAAGCATTTATAAAATTTCACTCGACAGAGGCAAATATATTCGACTAAGAAGCTATTCAACTCAAATCATCTATCATTTAGTAATATTAATGCATAAATTTGCATACCTTTTGTTTAAGTTTGTTTTCTAAGGAACAGGCAATTTAATGTGTTATGATCAAAATTAATAAGATTCAAAATAACAAATTTTAATATCGAATCATAAAATTTGTTTTTGAAGGAACAAAGTTGAGTTTTTTTTTCAAGACCGATAGGTCGAGAAGCAATTTTTTCTACAATCGTATAATGATGCTTCCGTTACGAATCATTATTCGTTTCGTCTCTATTCATGATTATCCAAACAAAGGATAACCTTCGTTTGCCATCTTACAAAAGTACAACAGTACAAAAAGGTCAATTGGTCTTGGTGACGTGGAGTCACGTTTTTCAGATCTCTTAAGAAAAGTGTTCTTTCAAGTTACAAGTTGAAGTGGTTCCGAAAATATCTCATTTCTACACAATACAAAAATAGTGACATTTTATATTATATGTGAAGGTTATTTTTTTATTCCATATATTTAAAATCACAAGGGGTATTTAATTTGTGTTTTTTGTTTATTTTCCCCATGAATAAATTATTAGATTATTAGAAATATTATTTTTGTTCATCTTTTCCGATAGTTGACTATACTTTGTAATACTTACTGGATATTCAAATAAACCAACAAAGTTGGAAATACAAAATCTACACTAAGCGATTAACCAACAAGTATTATCAATCAAGTTCTTTCAAAATTCTCAATTCTACAAATCATACTAAAATGATTCATTTCCAGCTATGAAACGTAAATAAGAGTTATTGCAATATTTATGACACATTTTCTCTAAAGAATAATAGGAAAGGCAAATTTCAATAACCTAGTGACTCACCAATGCAGATTGAATACAGCCCAAATAAATTAGTAAGGAGGATGTGACGTGTTGTTTATTCATACCTGAAACAGAAAAGATGTATAAATGCAATTATGCAAAAAGGACTGTTTTTATCACACTTTCCTTCATTAAAGTGTGATAATTCTCACAAGGCTTGTAGGAACACCACCAAGTAATCATAGAAGAAATCACATCAGGTGGTAAAGAAAAATAAGATTATTTTTTATTAATTATTATTCCAATTTATAAATTTATAAACTACTCCATAATTGTTAACAAGTGTACATAATTCTTTCTTGTTAATATGTGTTTTTATTACTGTTATGTAAGTTATTAATACCGAATTCCGGATTCTCTTTTTGTCTTAAAAGGTTCATTTCTACGCTCGAAGAAATAAACTCTTTTAGACCAAAGAGATCACTACCGATCTCGGAAAACTACCGATCAGAGCAAACAGCCGCTATAATTCTCCTCCAGACGGGGGCTGAATTTGACCTATAGGTGCCTAGCTAGTTGAAAAAATCCTGCCATCGTTGGGACTCAAAGAGTGGGACACCTCGGTCGGAGGCGCTGAAGTGACTCCAGTTGATTTCCTGAGCCACCTAAGCCGGAGCAATCGGTAGAAGGCGTGCGGTCCCTCTGCCAAGGACCGTTCTATAGTCAGAGAAGCGAACAGTGACTTTGTGTCGATCCGTTTCCTTAGAAAAAATCTTCTCTTTTGTGCGAAGAATAAATTAATATTCGAGATATAATGTAAATAAATTGATATATTGTGTGAGTTAGCTCAAGTCGTACGTAAATGAACTCTACGGAAGTAATGACTGAGA